GTGTAATGGCATGTTATTCAAGTAACAATGATGTTGATGTTATTACATGGCATGCAAGATTAGGTCACATAGGGCAAGATCGAATGAATAGGTTGGCAAAAGAAGGAAATTTAGGTTCTTTCACCAAAATTGAAATGCCAACTTGTGAAAATTATCTTGCTGGAAATATTACGCATAAACCATTTGGGAAGGCTAAAAGAGCTGAGTTCCCACTTCAATTAATTCATTCTGATATTTGTGGTCCAACGAATGTAAGGGCAAGGTCTGGTGCGACATACTTCATTACATTTATTGATGATTCACGCGTTTTAGTTATGTCTATTTGATTTCTCATCAATCTGAAGCACTTGAGTGCTTTAAAAGATATATGAATGAAGTTGAAAATCAATTAGATAAAAGCATAAAAGCTTTAAGAACCGATCGAGGACGTAGATATTTGTCAAAACAATTTGAAGAACTATGTACTGAAAAGGGTATTATCAGACAGTTAACTACTCTTTATAAACCTCAACAAAATGGTGTAGCTGAAAGAAGGAATATATACATTATTAGACATGAAAAAATCAATGATGTCGTAGGAAAATTTGTCTATCTCTTTCTAGGGAGATGCATTATTGACTGCGGCTTACATATTGAACAAAGTGCCTTCTAAATAGTGTCTTCCACTCCTTAAGAACTTTGGACTGGTCATAAAACAAACCTAAATTATCTACGACCGTGGGGTTGTGCGGCATATATTAAAGATCGTCTTGGTGAGTTTGGTAAACTAAGTCCAAAAGTAAAGAGATGTATCTTATAAGGTACTCTGAACGCTCTAAAGGGTATGTGTTCATCGATGAACTGGAGGATGGAAGTATTACAGAAATTGTATCATGAGATGTCAAATTTTTGGAAAATGATTTTCCCAAAAAGGGTGAAATAGATGAAGTTGAGCCTCTGTATGAAATGTTGAATTCAGAAAATCAGATAATGTTGTCAAACATAGTTGATAATTCAATGGATCAAGAAATGATTCCCAGTCCGAGTGGGAGTTATGAATCTCAAAATCCTATAAAGGAATCTGAACTTCAAATACGTAAGAGTACAAGAAAAGGTGTACCTAAACGATCTTATGAGATTGAGGATTATGTTTTCATTGTATCTCCCACAGAATTGGATGAACCTAATTCTGTAATTGAGGCCTTATCGAGACCTGAAAGGGATGAATGGTTAAAAGCGATGAAAGAAGAATTAGAGTCCATGAAAACCAACAAAGTCTGCGATCTAGTTGACCTTCCTAAGGAACGTAAAGCTATTGGGAATAAATGAATTCTTAAAGTTAAATGTAAATCGGATGGGTCAATAAAAAGACACAAAGCACGATTGGTGGCAAAAGGTTTTACTCAAAAAGTTGGAATAGACTATGAGAAAACCTTTTCACCAGTTGTAAAGTTTACTTCCATACGATTACTTTTAGCTATTGTTGCACGTTTAGATCTAGAATTACACCAAATGGATGTGAAGACCGCTTTTTCTCAAATGGAGAATTTAAACGAGGAAATCTACATGGAACAACCAGTAGGTTTCATTGTTAAAGGTCAAGAAAAGAAAGTATGTAAATTAAGAAGATCAATTTATGGCCTAAAGCAATCTTCAAGGCAGTGGTATCTAAGATTTCATAAAGAGGTGATGTCATTTGATTTCACCATGATCGATGAAGACCATTGAATCTATGCGAAAATGTCA